ATGTCTGTCGGCCGTTAGGGACAAACCGTGAAATCCTGAGGCTTTTCATGGTTACAATGTTAAGTTACCTAAATAAAGATAAATAAAATTCTAGTCTAAAATTTACTAACCTATCCAATCTCTACATTGCATAATGGGACAAATTTCTTATGCAGCTTAAAATGCCTCAACTCGATTTCATAAAATAGTTCTTTGAAAAAATAAGCATTTACATAATCACCAGAGATTCTGATTTTAGTCTAACTAGAACCTAAATTTCTGGATAATCTCTATTCTGGTTGCTTAGAATATGTTATGGGAACAGAGGATGTAGAAAATAGAACCGGAAAAATTTGGCATCTTCATATTTCACTTTTACATGTAAACAAAATACAGAAAAACATCAGTCTGGAATAATAAAAAAGAACTATGGATAATTTGTTCTTAATTGCAAGTGGCAAAATTGTAATAATATTCCCCAATCATATACCAGAGTCTGGTATATGTGGTACAGAAAGCTAAAGATTATCTTTATACAAAAGAAGGACGCTGCCCTTGTTTTAGAGTGATAATGTGTTCTATCTTGTTTTCTGTTGTCAGATTTGTCTAACCTGAAAACTGATTAAGTAAAACTAACTGTACTTAAAAATTAAGTAAAACCTAGCACTAAACACTGAAAAGAACAGTCACTTAAATGGTTTTCTCTCCCTGGACCAGTAGAGGGAGACTAAGACATCTGGCCTGGTCGTGTACTGTTTCTGTAAAATTGGGGAGGGGGGAAGCGGAGGCTGTATTTAAATGTCCTGCTGTCAATCAAAAGACACTTCCTACAATCACAGTCACCATATCTGCTATTACTCGTGAGCGTGCTGTCGCCAAGATACAACACCAAACGGGGCCCGGGAAACCTGCTTCACCTAAATGTGACCGCAGGCTTTGCCACAACACCCAAATAAGGACTTTGGGAGCCCAACCCCAACTAGTTTCTTTGTTTAAATGCCTGCAAATCCCTCCCACGCCGGAGTCAAGAGGCTGTGGCGCCGCCCTTTATTAGCCTCACACTTTGATTACAAAACACACGAGTCGGCGGCCTGGCTGCGGAGGCGGCCCGAGCTCTCTCAAACGTCAAACCCGGAG